CAATATCGTTATATAATGCTTGGCTAACATTAGCCAGTGCCTGCGAAAATGTCTGTTGCATGCCGTGATCAGGTATTTCACTAGATGGAATAACGCATGGAACATCATCTACAGTTGTCCTATTAGTTATCAGCATTCAGTGTTCCTGAGCGGCATCGTCTTTGGCATTGTGTTAAATCAGGTGCAACCCTAATGTTAGTGTATGGCGTTGAAGACCCTATTGTCTTACCAGATTTCAGAAAATTCCTGGCTCCTTCAGTAGACCTGAACTTGAAAAGCACCGGACACGGGTGGTTCGCAGATTTTCTACGAAGACGCAAAACCTGACATTCTATCAACGACATATTACAAGCCTTTAGACACGAAGTTCGAAAGTTTGGCAATCGGGCCTCTGTCTGGAATTTTACAGGCCAAGACGTTATGTGAAGACATAATCCTCTTAACAGCTTCTTCAGCCAAATAGTCAATTATGCGCTCGGATTTGATTAGTGATTCAAGACAGATGTTTTGTGATGGGTCACACAGTTGCATGAGAGGCATAATGCTGTCAAACTTGCTCTGTAGTTCTCCTATTGACTTCTGAAGTGTCAACAAATCATTTTTCCTACAAGCCGCATTCTCTGTCAGTTCCTCCATGATATCAGATACCATAACTCTGGGTGTGGCTGGTGTAAAAAGTGTAAAATCGTCAACGGAGCTGAGGCCTTCAGATGGTTGACTAGTGTTAGATCTCAGTCTCTTAACGGTACTTACACGTTTGATAGATTTAACCATTACAGAAACAAGAAACTTCACAAATTTCGGAAAAAAGTCTTGAGGATATAAAAATAAGATAGCTGTATTATTGAAGTATCAAAACAACAACGATAAACAGGTATATATAGCAAAATAAAATATCAGACATCCCTTTACAGTGCTTGCTGTGGATAAAATCCTGAGTTCCACGTGGTTAGAGAGGGTGTAGGGGACTAATATTAGAGTTCACTAACATTCCAAGTATAAAAGTAATAATCCAAGTCAGTGGAGTGTTAAATCACAATATATTACCAAAAATACAGTGACGAGTTATAGCAACAAAAAGGATTACTTGGTTATAAAGTCTAAGTCCTCGGCTACAAATTAATTATATAATCCACAGGCACGTTAATTGTTTGGACTGCGTCTGCTGTAGCTGCTGTGTTCCGGTTGTAGAAATGTCTTCGGTTGAGAGTAGTAGGCTCCTACAATAAATCCGAAGTATACAACACGGTGTGAGTGGAGCAAGTAAGCAGAAGTGACCAGGGAGAAGACGAAGTCTCCAACAGCAGAGTGTATTTTTCAATTGTACACGGAAGTTATGTATATTTCAACAAGAAGCGTTTTAAACAAAAATTATGTACAATATCTCGAATTTATACAAGTAACCAAAAAGTGTACAATCACATTGTTACGTACTCAACACGGCTCCCCCCCTAGAGGTCCGGAGAGACAACCGGAAAATGATAAGTAAAACTATGAAGTAAATAATAATAGTAATAGCAACTTTTGGATAAAAATAGGGATATATTACAACATGCATAAACGCGAGAAGGTATGTGAATCATGTAAAGTCTGAAAGCATATACAATGAGTTCAGCAATAAAAATTGAAATAGAAAGTCATGTCACTTAAATTTGCACTAACCATGAACATAGATTTTTAATGTATAAAGAAAAATATGTAAATACACAGTAATTAAGGAGGGGAAAGAAACATTTAAAAAAAATATGGATTAAAGATCAATAGTTTTTGGAAAGGACAATACCTGTTTTTTAGGTGAGGTACATATAAATAAATAATAGTGATAGTAACATCAAAGTTTACGACGAAATACTAACGGTCATGATGATAATGTCTAAACGAAAAAGATAATAATAATTTTTAATTATTTTTCTTTTGTTAGTCCTCAAAATGAACGTAGCGAGCCGGTTTACTGATTTGCCGACCACTACGTGTGTGATATGGAGGGAGGATAAGACTTGGTGCCGGTGGAGGGGAATCGGATGTTTGATTATTTGATTGCGCAGCTGCCGATGTAGATTCGAAGTCGTTGTCGGTGTATGCGGGTTTGATTCGATCAATTGAAACAGTCTCTCGTCTTCCATTCTTGTTCACTGTAAAGTGTTTGTCTGAACGTTTAATAACTTGAAAGGGTCCTTCGTATGGAGGTTGCAATCCTTTTCTGATGGCGTCGACTCGAATGAAGACGAATTTGCAAGTTTGTAGATGTTTGTTGATCTGATCTCTTCGGGGAGATTGTCGAGGTGCTGTTGGTTGAAGTTGAAGCATTTGTCTAGTTAATCGGTTAGTGAAGTCGGCAATGTTCACGTCTGTGGAATCGGCTGAGGGGACTAGCTGTCCAGGCAAGGTTAGGTTGGTGCCATAGACAAGTTGAGCCGGTGTACATCCTAAATCTTCTTTGATAGTAGAACGGATACCAAGTAAAATCAAAGGTAAGTATTCACTCCACTTAGATGTATCATTCTGCGCCATCAGGGAGCTTTTCAGTTGTCTGTGGAATCTTTCCACTAGACCATTCGCTGCCGGATGATAGGCTGTTGTGGAGATATGTTTCACTCCCAGAAGTCTCGTCAGTTCGCGAAAGAGTGTCGATTGGAATTGAGGACCGCGGTCGGATGTAATAGTAGTTGGTACACCGTAGTTTGACACCCAACGGTCGAGAAAAACTAAAGCAACGTTTTCAGCAGATATGTCGTTTAAGGGGCATGCAATAGCCCAACGAGTAAATCTATCAATCGCTGTCAGGATATGTGTATATCCCCTTGATGTTGGCAATGGTCCCACGATATCTATATGGATATGCTGAAATCTCCTTTCGGGTAATTCAAACGTCTTCGGGGTTGTAATAGTGTGGCGGTGTACTTTGGAGCATTGGCATTGGATACATTCTCGTGCCCATCTCCGAATGTCAGAGTTCATTTTAGGCCACACGAAGCGTTCGCTGATCAGTCTGACCGTGGCGCGTACTCCAGGGTGAGAAAGCGAATGTAAATGTTCGAACAATGCTTTTCGGCAACTGAGAGGGACAAATGGACGATTAGTGCCGGTAGATACATCGCAGACTATGGTTGCATCTGATAAGGGGATAGGCACATCTTTGAGCTGTAAGGAAGAGTTTCTGCGGCAGGTTTGGAGTTCAACGTCATCTTTTTGTAATTGAGCCATACGATCAAGACTGATGTCTACCGACGTTTGGAGCTGGTTAATGTCACTTCTTGAAAGAGAATCGGCTACCACGTTCGCATCCCCTTTGATGTACTGAATGTCGGTTGAAAATTGGGAGATATAATCCAACTGTCTGGCTTCTCTAGGGGAGTGTTTATCAAGTGAAGTAGTGAAAGCATGACACAGGGGCTTGTGGTCAGTAAAAATAGTGAAATGCCGGCCCTGTAGTAAGTAACTGAAATGCTTCACTGCAAGATATATGGCCAGCAATTCTCTCCCAAAAGTGCTGTATCGTGTCTGAGCCGGTTCCAACTTCTTAGAAAAGAATGCGAGTGGGGTGACTTCGCCCTTCATCTTTTGTTGTAATACTGCCCCTACAGCTACTTGGGAGGCATCTGTGCACAAAATAAGCGACGCTTCGGGGTTGATATGGGATAGCATAGTGACTCTGGATAAGGCATCTTTTGCGTTGCAAAATGATTCGCGTGCTTCAGCTGACCACTGAAACTTTTTAGGATCATTTTTAAGGAGGTCGGTTAACGGCTGGACGATGGAGGCACACGAAGGAATGAAACGCCGATAGAAATTAAACATCCCCAAAAAACGTCTGACCTTCTTGAGTGAATCTGGTTCGGGGAAGTTTTTGATGGACTCTATCTTTTCCTCCGTAGGCGTAATACCATTCGCGGTTATGTGGTGTCCCAGAAACTGTATAGAGGAGACACCGAATATGCACTTTTTGGGGTTAATGACGACTCCATATTGCTCAAATCGTTGAAATAAGATGGTGAGGTGATCAGTATGTTCTTCGGGCGACGAGCTAGCAATTAAAACGTCATCGATATATACAAATACAAAGTCCAAACCTTGTGTGACCTGATCCATGAAACGTTGGAAGGATTGTGCTGCGTTCTTTAGGCCAAATGGCATGCGGAGAAATTCAAACAAACCGAAAGGTGTGATGATGGCCGTTTTTTCGATATCCTCTTGGGCAACTGGTATTTGGTGATAGGCCCTGACCAAGTCTACTTTAGAAAAAATGGTTTTTCCGTGTAATGTCAGGGAGAAATCATGAAGATGAGGAATAGGATAACGGTCGGGAACTGTGGCATTGTTTAAATGTCGGTAATCCCCACATGGCCTCCAATCATGATCAGCTTTAGGCACCATGTGTAAGGGCGAAGACCAAGGACTATTGGAGGGTCTGATGATGCCGAGCTGCATCATGTGTTCAAATTCTGCCTTGGCTGCTGCCAATTTGTCCGGGGGTAATCTACGGGGACGAGCACGAACTGGTTGACCCGTAGTAACTATCTTGTGAGTAACTGTGTGAGGGACGTCCTCGATGTTGTACGACGGCTTAAGAATTTTAGGGAAACGGTGAAGTAGGGAGGAAAAAGGGCAATCTGCTGGTCTTTCAATACTGATATTATAGACAGAATAGCTGGAGATAATTCCATGGATCTTTAGATGGGTGTTGTTATCAATCAGTTTTTTATTGTTGACGTCAACTAACAGGTTGAAATTACTCAAGAATGATTGCTGAAAGACAGTTATCCTTTTCAAGTGTGCCAGTTTCAACGACTAAATATCAGCTGTAAAAAACGATGGTGTGAACTAGTGAACAGTGCACACGTCATCTGACGGATATTCAGATATCACGTCTATGCAAAAGATGAGGGTGATTTGGAAACTTTGAGATGGATCTTTTGTAGCGGGATCAACGTTTTGTTAGCATATTCCAAACAAATGAAGTGGTTAGCACACTTGACTATCCACACTCCATCTTCTTAAATTATGGATGAGTGCAGATTATATCATCTGCCTAATTTCATTGTGAATGCAATTTTATGAAATAGCATACGAAGAGTTTTCACCTCTTCATTTATAAAGATATTAAAAACACAGAATCTTGATTATTGGTTGTAACCAAAGTTTGGTTTGCAGAAAGGTGTGTTTGACAGCACACGTCACTTTTATTCGTAAGATAACATCAATCCAGTAGTGAGTTGTTCGTTTTACATTCCAAAGAAACTCTAAGTTGTATATCACAGTATAGTTACGTTCATCTTAGTGTAACAGAAATTCTATCTCCTTGTATTGTATTTAATCAAAATTACGAAATATTTGGTTTGTATAGATAGCTTGGGCTACTTCAACGGGATACATTTTTGTATATTTGTTATAGACGACGTGATTCTAGATTAATGAGACATTTTCCCTCCTAACCTTTATTTCTTTTCCACTAAGGAATGTGAATCAAAACTACGGGATACTCAAACTCAGTGCGAGGTCTTGAAAAGCCATCTCGATTCTACGAGAAATGAACGCGGGAATTCTGCATTTTCTGAGGTTGGTTTATGATCCAATGTTTTGTTAAGTATTTTTTTGAAAATATAATGTGTATGTATATCTAACACTCAACAGGAGTTAAGTCTACATAGACGGCTTACTAAATGACTGACTTTGTCTTCAACGTATGACTTCTCAGGAAATTGCAGCAGCTCAAGTTTTTACACTTCATATCGCATACTAAGGTAGGTAGAGGGAGAAAGTCCTAGAAAATATAATGAACGGAAATGTAGTAGAGAAGAAAATAAGTACATGGAGAGTAATGAGAAGTTGATGTATCTGCTAAGTGTATGTATCACATAGAAGAATTTTGAGCCACGATACCAACAGTCTGAAGTCATCGGTTCTTACTATCTTGTAGACTTCAAACGGGCAGTTTACACCTCCCTACTTGGCTTAAATCAACAGTTAACGACTTCATGGATTCATGTCTTGTTTTGGTTTGACCGTTCTTTACTTTTCTACAGCTTAATCCTATGTCAGTCAACATTCCCGGATTGGGGATTCCGATGGATTGTTGTGCGTAACACGTGTCCTAATCATCTTAATCGATGTGGCTTCACAACCTCATCGATTTTCCATTTTTATCTAACAGTTGGTCTTACCTCAGTATTCCTTCATTCATTTAATTTCATTTGATTGTTCATTTAACACGGGTGATGGAAGGAACACGTTAGATAAAGACAGTCAGCCCATTTAGGTCTTCCACTTTCACAGCCATAAAGGTAGAGTGAGTAAAGTGTGAAATACATATACGTCCTTCAATTGATAGCCGGATCACGTCTATGTGAGGGATGACATAAATTACCGAATGCCACACGAGCCCTTTGTATCCTTGTTGACACTTCGTCATCATCCAGCCTATTAGGCTTAATGTGACTTCCCCTGATCACATCATTCGTTGTTTTTTATACTAAGAGTCGGTACAGACTAGTCCTGCAGGATTATCTCACATTTGACATAGCATGTCGAACACACCAAGATTTAAGCTCAAAGTGTTTAGGAGACTACATTTTGTCAGTGTTTTCATCTAGAAGAACAATGTCATCGGCATGGTGTAAATCGACAAAACTGTTCTCTGATAACAAATCACTCCCTACGTCGTTACATCAGTTAGTGCATCCGATAAAATTAGAGAAAAATGAGAAAAATTGTGCATCTTTGATGAATATCATTGGTTGTTGTTGTTACTTCATATGATAACTCTCCACAAGCTCTTACAGGGCTGAATGAGCTGAAGTGGAGCGCCTGGACTGGTGCGATATGCCTTCTTGGCACTCCCTTAATCTAACAAAGGACATATTGAGCGAAGAAATACATTCCTTTTCGTTTAGTTCCTGATCGCATCGGCTGGCTCCACACTAATATACTGTTTTTTACATCAAAATGTTTTACCAATCAAGTGGTTATTCTAGTTATTCAGTTTTAAGTATAGGCGGGGGTGGGTTGACATGAAGAGGTTGTTGTTTTTTCTAAATGCGTAAATGGAATTCGGAAGTTACTGAAGCTCCCCTAATCGTGAGACATTACCGCACTACCTCTCTGTGGAGAAAGTGGAGTGCCGCTTTCAGGTCAAGGAACTAGGCATGTGTTGCTGAACATTGGTAAGTGTACCTGTGTTCAAGAGTGTCTAACGTCGGGAATATGGTGATAACATTCGTCCGAGTCTAAAACCTGTATGGTTTTCATGGATCTGTCTCTCCTGAGCAGCGTCTAGTCTACGCATGACTAGCATAAAATTTTAGACATTATGTTAGTAAGGTAGATCCCTCTACAATCATCATTATAAACTCGAGTACACAACGACGCTGAATGCTCTAATGTAAAGCCAACTGGATGGTTCATCCTTCCGAAATCTCCATTAATGGTATCAGAGTTGATGGGTGGATAGATTGGTAGAAGACGTAGAATGTACCTGTAGAATAGTGAGGAGAAAGCAAAAAGATGGATGGAATGTTATGGAAGTGTGTAAGGGTTATCACCCCCGGCTGACCATACCATGGACAGAAGTCAGTTTCTTCTCGGAATACCTGAAAAAGTAAGGGGATTAGTGTTGTGTGATTCCAAAGCCCTGGGTGTAACTCCTTTAGACCAGTTACACACACCCAGACTTAAACTCGTAGCCGTATGATATATAAAGGCATTCATATATTAGCATGGTGTGATATATCTTAGTGGTTTGTGTTTTTACTGAAGTTACATACTGTTTTCTTAACACAATTGTGGCTGTCAGTCAAAGGAAATGTGTTTTGCTGCATTTCAGTATAATATTTAAATAAATTTTAGCTTGAAGATCGACGCCGACGTGCTGAAAAACGGATTGTTCGACAGCGCGAGATGATCAGTCAATTGAAAGTAGATTTGCAGCGTTTAAAGACAGAAAATAGGCGTAAATATGTAAGTTATGCACAAGGTGAAAATGTTTCCTTATTGATGACTACAATTTGTTTGTAACTTCCAGTCTATTTTGTTTATTGACATATTCTGATTTACGTTATACTTTCACACCTCGGACATTTTATGTATAAGAGGTGAAGGTAGGCGTTTCAGAATGGTGTTACTCATTTGTTAGATAATTTGAACATTATATTCGGACGCGTCATTTAACTTTTCAAAGTGCTTACAACCGTGGCGAGGTGAGAGGTGGCTGGCTGCTAGTCAAAATTGGTGGACAGCAGTAACTTATGTCAATGTTTATGTCTCCAATTTTGGTCGTGAGAAAAATGAGAACAAAGGCTTTGCGTAGGCGGATACAGTTAACATACAGATGAAAGAAACAGTCATAAAGAGATGAAAGATCAACTTTCAGTGAGAAACAACCAATCAAAAGACTGTATTTTTCTGCTAACAATAATCTATAATATGTACATGGAAATCTACAAGTATGTGTTGATATCCATAATAAACGATCTGTTGCCTGGCCCTTGTCTTCTGTTGTTACACAACTATCGGATACAAAAACATCCTGCACAAGTGAGAACAATTGAACATTCATCAGCGGGGAAGTCTTCAACTCAGAGTAGGCTAGTTCCGTATTCGGTGAACAGAATTATGCAGGATGAAGCTTTATGAAACAGTGGGGAAGTTTTAAGTGGGGAGTACGACATTGCCAGTTATGGTGCCAGAGATGATGCAGGTTGATGTATATTGCCTTAACTTACGAAACACCATTGGATATAAATTTGTAACGATAGACGACAAGGGCCTGACAACAGATCGTTTATTGAAAAAATTGAGAAATATTGATAGATTTTTATGTACATTATTATGAGCGTTATTGTTGTTAGCAGAGAAGCAACGTCTTCTGATTGGTTGTGTTTCTTGCTGAAGGTTATTCTCTACTGCTTGTGACCATTTCTCAGAATGTTAAGCCATATGTCTAACATTAGGTCCTTTGTGATTGGTTGGTGAGTTCCTCAAGGTTAAGTTTTTTATTGTTTTTTCTCATGACTCCGATTCGGGAACTAACATCGACGTAAATTGGTTTCTGCAATTTTTGGCTTGCAGACAGCTCCCACCTTAATTTAAGTGATATCATAATACTAAAACTGTAGTTCTTGCTTTGTTCAAATTCATTGAGGGGAATAAATGTATGAAATAATGCTAATTATAGAACACGATTTAAGTAAATACGTATTGTCAGTCAATTCTCATCAAGCTGTACATTTACATGATGAAATATCAGTCATAGGCATTTGAATTAATACTGTTAGTAAAATATCCAGGATCAGAGTGTAGAGAAGCGAATTAATGGATAACAATCGACGTGATCATCATTATCATGATAATAACAAGGATAAATTTGTTCAAGTCTGTCTATCTGTTTTCGACATAGAACTTTGCACCAGTGTGCAGCAGTTCAAGTCGCCACACTCCCCTCCATGTAGTACACAAAGCAAGAGAAGAAAGTAGAAGAAATGCATAATATGGGCAGTAAACAGAGGTGTGAGACAAAGGAATAGTAATGACGAAGAACAATATAGTTTCATTGGAAATCATAAGTCACAAGGAGTGGATGCATCTGCGCCAGCCATTGAGTGAAAGCGATTTTGAGCCATGTCACCAATTGTTTCCAACCATGGGTTTTTACCGTCCCGAGGACCCCAACCAGTCAGGAAGTCTACACCTTCCTACGTGGCTGGATTAAACTAACTGTTGTAGATTTCATTGACTGATGAGGCCATGTTTTGGTTCGACCTCCTCTAGCTTTTTTCCAGCCTGACCCTATATCAGCTAACATTGTATGTTGTCGAGGAAGGCGATGACTAGGCATACGTAACACATGCCCTAGCCATCTCATCCACAATTGTTATCGTGTCACAAATGATAATTTCAGTATGCATGGTATTGAACAATATCGCCTGTGATTTAACTGAAGTTCTCAGTGCTACTTAAGTGATATATGCTCACTTATTGTAAGAATGTAGTGTTGTTAGCTATCGTGGTTTACACTACATGACGCTGTAAATTTATTTTCCAACTTCGATGTTTACGGCTTTTTTCTCTCATCAGTTTGAACTTCATATATATATATATATATATATATATATATAATCCTTTCATTACAGAATGATTATGTTGCGAAAATGATGAAAAAATATACCAGTCAAGATGGAATAAATAAATTATTAGCTGAAAGAGAGCGTTTACTCCAGGAGAATGCAAGACTTATGCATGAAGTACAAATATTCGAAGAAATGGAGGTTTGTTGTATTTGAATTTGATTTATTGACTTATTGATTTGTTCAGTATCGAACTTTTTATATATTGATCGATAGAGAATGAAGAAAATATACTGACTAATTTTAAGACTGTTTAAAAATTCGCTTTAGTAGTACATTTGACTTTGTCTTTATTCGACTGTTATAAGGACTTTGTTTTTGGGTGAAATATCAATTCACCTGTGTTTATTAGCATGACTTGGTGATTCGCTTTTCAGTGGTGCAACACTATTAATTCTGTAAAGCCATCCACAAGTTGTCATTTGAAGTGAAGACAGGTATGTTTATTGTTCTCATTTCTGTTCAATTTCATCATAGATGTGCTAATAAACTTAACCCTAAGTGACTTCAACCACAAGGAAATAACCTCGTTGACTTAGAATATGCAGATAATGTAGTCTCTATTTCCATCTAGGTGAAAACGTTGACAAAATGCAGAGTCTTCTGAACACCTTGAGCTGAGCAGCAATCTTGGAACGTGTGGCGTGGAATTTGCTCCTGTCAAATGTAAGATGATACTACAGGACTGGATTACATCGACTACCCCTAGCTTGAAGAGAGAGGGTAGTGAAGTGGCTGGTGGAGCGTGTTGACTTATTTTGGAAGCTTCATCAGCCAACACCAGCGAACTGAAATCTCAGCACGGATACAGAAGACTCGTTTGGCATTTGCCTGCGAACTGACGCCACCTCTGGCGTAGACGTCATATCCGGTAGGCTTGGCAGTTCTCGCAGTCCTCCTTAAAGGTTGTCTGTGAGATATGGCCATTGCTAGTGGAAGACATGCAAAGGCTGGCTAGCAGTCTTTCATCAAAGGTGTCTGTGTTCTATCTCCCGTGTTAGGTGATATAATAGGGTGAGTATTGTTGAGGTTAGGCTTCTGTCGAGTACTAGTTGAGGGGGGATTCAATCATCGACGAGGTTGTGAAGTTACATCGACTGAGATGGCTAGGAGATGTGTTACGCTCACTTATCGATCTCATTCCTCGACGAGCAACATTAGCTGGTGGCATAGGATTAGCTTTGAAAAGAGAAAGCTAGTAGTGGTCAAACCAAAACTAAAAGATCAGTTAATGAAATATGTAACAGTTAGTCTGAGCCACGTATGGTGGTGCAGACTACCTGGCTGTAGTCCTCTCGATTCTAAGGAGCAATGGCTGAAGACAATTAGTGATGATATGGCTCAAAATCTTCGTTGTCAATGGCTGGCGCACATGCATTCACTCTTTTTTGATTTGTCATAGCCAATAAAACTCAATTGTCCTTCCAAACTATTATTATTATTATTTATCTCTCACACTTCTATTTATTATCTGTATTTTAAACCTCTCTCTTTACTCTCTTCTCTAACTTTGTGTACTACTTGGAGGGAGAGTGGCAACTGGAACTGCTGCACATGTGTGCGAAATTCTTTGTTGAAACTAGTCAGTGATGCACAAGTTTCAGACGATTCTGTAGGAATGTTGATTCCACATAGATGGTGTAGCTTTTATACGTAAGACTCAGGTTGTAATCCCTTGGAAAATCTGAGAGTGATTAGCTTCCGATATGTAATTTCATTGTATGCGTATTATTTCAGTGATATACATTAGGAGGTGTGGGCTTTGGCGTATTCGATTTATTGGAATTCGTAGAACGAATGCTGTGAACAATTTTCTTAACAGCTGTACCGGTAAATAAATTATTCGAATGAGTACACAGCCCAAAATTATAGACATTCTGTTGACACATTGTCAGTTTTTCCCTGTTTGAATGGTACTCGTATTTCTTTTGAACAGAGCAAGAAGAAACATTGGCGCAGAATGATCTGGATCCGTTTTATTTCATTTTTTCATGGTATAGTATGTAACTTTTGGAATTATTTATTTTTTTCACCGGTAATATGATATGTGTTAAATGTTTTTCTTCAATATAGTTGGATGGGAACTGTGAAACTTTGAAGGTGGCAATGGCATTCAATCTTGTGGATAAAGGTCGCCAGGAGTTAATATCTACCCTAGTGTAAGATGCGGTTTAGGTATTTTTGCTTTATTTAAACTGGTAATTGTGAGCTTTATTGGTAGAATAGTTAATAGGTTTTCTTCAAGATAACAGTTATTATTATTATTATTTTAATTATTATTACTAATATATGATTTGGTAACGAGTTGAATATAGAGGGCTTCAACAGCACAACTTCATTTCATTCTTTTCTGTGAAGTTACTTTCAGTTGCCTTAACGATTGCCCAGAGGCTCTAATCTTGTCTTCACATGGTCTCCACCATGTCACACTCGGAATGATGTCCAACTCGTGGTTTCCCATATGGGTTCTCCTCGAGTCAAGTGTAAATCGGTCCAGCGTATTACTGTCTTCCCTCTCCCCACTCTCCGTCTACGGAATAATCCACTCCGCCACAATCAGGAATATCAGTAGTGACTGTAAGCAGTCTGGTTTTACTCCTGTCTTCACTTCGAAGGCATCTCTGTGTTTTCTGTTGTGAACCACGTGATATGTAGCGTTATCATTTAGCTGTTGAGTGAGGTTGATAAAGGTTTGCACACTTCACTCCGTAGTGTTCAAACAGTTTCAAAATTATTTCACAGTCTTTGATGTCGAAGGCTCTCTCAGAGTCGATGAAGTTGAGGTAGACATTTGACAGCCATGCTTCACTCTTTTCAATGCTCCGTATTCAGTGCATCAAGAGGAATTCAGCCTCGTTCTGCAGTTCTCCCCGACTTCTGTAGCTTGATTGCATTGAACACCTCTGCTTTAGTTGGAGGACTGGTGTTCTCTGATAGTTCTGTGGCTGTTGGTAGTTTTCCTGAATGGGTTGCAGGTGATGGTCGGCTCAAGAGTCATTTGGAGTGAACAACCCATTGTGTCCTATAATTCTCCACCGTGATAATCGGCTTCTCTTGGCTACCTTTTATTGGTTGCATAATCTGTGTTAATTAATCTGTTACCAGAGAGCGAGCAGCTTGGTTATCTGATATAATGTTCTGAGGTCTCCTTTGCCTGTGGCCTGCTTGTTCTGCTGCAGTTGTCGGCCAGTGTGTTGTAGAATAGTCCTGTGTCTTTGCTGTCACTCTTGTTCACTTCTTTATTCAGTGCGTTGTACGTTGAATTCAGCTTCTCTCCCTGTTTCACTATCTCTCCTTCCTTAATTAGCTTCCAGTACTCATAGAGAATGATTCCTTTCTTTTGCCTGTTCCTTCAAACTTAGACGGCTGTACAGGTTTCTTTGCATATAGCATTTCGAGAGTTCTAATGTTCTTCCACACAGGTTTCTCCGATGATGATACAGAATGTTTCTAACTTTGCCCTGATGGTTGCAGTGAAGGTGTCCTTTGTAGTTTCGTCCTTCAGTTTCTCAGTGTTGTACTTGAATTGTGGTCTGTTCCCAGTTGTTTTTCAATCTCTCAACTCCTCCTCGAAGGTCCCTTGAACCAAATGATGATACGAAGCTAAATCTTTTCCTCTTCTCAACTTTGTGTCTAGGAGAACGAATCTCCACTCTCTTTAGAACATTGAGATGAAGTCTATCTGGTTTTGGTGTATCTACTGTATGGTGAAACTAATGTCGATTTGCGTATGTCCTTGTTCTTGAACACCCTACTTCGAATTATTAAATCATTTGAACGTACAGTGATCAGGGGCTGGTCCTACCTTCTCCTTCATTTTAGCCGAACGAGAGCCTCCCAACCCTTGATGGATTATCTTCCCAAGTTGTGTTTGCTTTTAGTTTGGTTTGGATTTATATCACCCATTTGGGGTTTTGATGCTTCCATTCGGTGTATTCTGCCTTACTGTTCGCAGTTGTCTATAGCAGTCTTCGTTCTCCTTCACAGGACGCTCTGCGTTGTTTTAGGCGAGTAGAATTGGGTAATTGTAAATCTCTTCTATGGAGTAGAATCTTGGTGTCATTATCCGGGAGCAGATTAATTCCCACTGTATAAGAGCCTTGGATAATGATTATGCTTACACCATAATAATGCTAATGATAATTTGTTTTATTCCAAAAACAGTACTAATGATACAGCAAGGAATTTTCAGCATTCAGTACAATATTGCATCTAATTTACTGAAAAACGACAAGAAGTATGATAAAAATAAACATTACATAATGATAATAAAACGTTATGGCAGCTACATGGCAAATTACTGTATGCAATACGGAGAAAAATATGCATAAAGTATAAAATTGTAGTAATAATAGTAATAACAACTTAAATAAAATAGCAAAGTTATAATTAAACGATAGAAAGTGTGACACCATATAATACAGAAAGATGAAACAATGAAAGGGTTGATTCACTTTGCTAATTACGTAGTAACTCATGTGTTTAACGTCTAACGGAGTCTTCATCACATAAAGTACGGGCTAAATAGGGTATTGTATAATTTCTGTACTTAGTGGTACGAGCATATGACTTTATATTGACTTCTCGTCCTACCTGATGAGATAGAAGGGGACAGTTGTGAATTGAGGGGGTGCAGAGGGTCTGACAGTACAGCCTATGCCCATTTTGTACAGGGATTTATGTGTCTCTCGACTATAGTATTGGCGAGCTCACGCAGTGGCATACCACAAGCCCTACTCACAGCATTTAATACTCTTCGTGATATGATATAGTCTTTTTTGAGAAGCCCAGGAAAGATTAATGGAGAGCAATAGAGTACAATAGGTAAAATACAGGAGTTTAAAAATTGCAAAACTAAAGGTTGGTTGATACCTGATTGTCTTAACTTTTTAATGTAGAAGGTGAGACGAAACATTTTCTTAGAGATAGATAAGATGTGGGATGACCATGAAAGGTCAGAGGAAAGAACTAATCCAAGGTATTTAATTGTTGACTTGGTTTCAGTTTCCGTGCCATCTATGCTACAGGCATCATGCGAACTAACTAGTTCATGTAAGTTACGTCGATGCTTGAAAGTAAAGTCAACAGCCTGACATTTGGAAGGATTTAACATAAGACCATTTGACTTGGACCAGTTGTTGATGACCAACAGAAAGCTATTAAGTTTGGAGCAGTCAGACTCGGAAGTGATAGGCAGTGATACAGTCAGATCATCTGCATATTTGACAAAGTTGTTAGTTTCGTTTGAATGAGGCAGGTCGTGTAGGAAGAAAGAAAAAAGAAAAGGAGAGAGGACGGCACCTTGAGGAACACCGGATTTTGTAAGCGAGGTAGAAGAAGATTTGCCATTATATACAGTATACTGCATTCTACCAGAAAAATAGGAATGCAACCAACTCTTAGCCCAGGATCCTGTTTGTGTCAATGAAAGCTTATTTAATAAAAGGCCCCTAGGTACAGAGTCAAAAGCAGATGTGTAATCTAGAAAAGGACTACGAACATATTTGGCACCTTTGCTAAAACAAGAAACAACATTGTGATATAAGACAACCGCATCATCCAAGGTACTTCTACCATGTTTATATGCAAATTGTTTAGGATCATTAAAAGGTTTCAATGAAGGTTCAAGACGAAGTAATAGTAATTTTTCCATCAATTTTAAAAAAGGAGAAGTAATTGCAATAGGCCGAAATTTAATATCAGTACCAAGGGTATTAAAAGCACTAAGATTATTGTCAATATGATTTGTATCATTTGGAAGGATATCGACAGAAATGCGTATGAAAGACTTATTAAGAGTGTCAACATTAAGAGATGGGACAGAAGTACATCGCTTACCGTTAGTAATTTCTTTGAAAAGTTTCCACAAATTAGAAGGGGTTTTACATGACAAAAATCTTTGATTATATAAAACATTTAGTCTTTTCATTTCGAGTTTTATCAGAGTATTTAACTTTTTCACACCTGACTTATCATTTGTTTTGAACAACACTTTTTTATCTCTACGTAGCTTTTTGAGATATGGAGTAGAGAAACGATCAAATCGAATGAATAATGTTTCTTTAGGACAACATATTTCGAAACAGAATTTAAGATAATCAGTGGTATTTGTGATTGTGTCATCTGATGTTTGTTCTGTGAATAATTCCCAGTTAGTGTCTTTCAACATGCATCTGAGCTTGTCTAGGTTGTCTTGTGAGTAGCATCTCCGTTGAACTTTACTGTAGAGGTGAGAGAGGACACCTTTGTGTGATTTGGAATATATTTTAGGCAGTACACGTATGATGCAGTGGTCAGAGTTAAGTAAAGGAGCACGTTCGCGAGCTTCATGTATACCAACATCCTCTTCTACTGTGAATCTAATGTTTTCTTCAAATATACTGTGTATTAGTTTGCGAGTGTATTCCAAATCACATTTTTTTAATCATTACGAATATGTCATGAAAATAACCTACCGAGGATAATAAAGGTTTTTTGTATTTCCCAATGAATGAAGAACAAAAGGATATTGTTATTTTTACTGACGTTTCACTATTTAATGCTGCTAATAGCTTTATCAAACTATTATTAAACCAGGATTTACAAAATTTCAGCTTATATGTGTGACAACTTAATCATCGTTCCTCAGTATGGGGTCATTTTTGCGTTGTCAAGATGGTCAGTTGGTAAATATAACAAAACTAGGTGTAGATTGTTGGGTTTGATAAGCGTATAAAATCATAAAAGCAGCGTGTGTTCACATAATGAAGTTGCTTATCACATTCGTATTGATTTTGTCATTTCATGGGAGAGGGAGTTGTTTAAACTAGGTCAAATTCTGTTTTTGTCCATCATTCCTACCCAGACAATTTGGATTCCTTTTGATATGAAGCACTAGCTTCTGATATTAGACGTTCTTTGTGATTTCTGAAATTTTCCTGGATTATTTCAGTATTGTCGAAATCAATTTCGTGACCTGATACTATAGTGTGTAGACGACCTATGTATGGCTCATGATTTTTAAAGCCTTTCTAGTTCACTGACTGGATTTCTCGGTGGTCGAACAGAGGTGGCTGTACGGTGTTCATTTCTTCTGATTTTGATTTCTCGTAATGTTTGTTCGATGTATATCGCATTGCATTTCAAGCGCTTTATTTTATAGACACATTTAGATAGAGAATCCATGGAGATTTGGTCTTTTATACAAACCCGTACTTAAATTTTTGGTTTAGTTATGGTTAGGGCTATTAAAGCATTTAGACGTCTCTCGAATAATTTAGATCTTGTCGTCAGTCTCCTCCGTATGTTCCAAAGTGTAGAGAAAAGCAAAAGAAAGGAAGAAAAACGTTGTACCTATAAATGGTATGAGTTGGAAAGACGAGATCCAGTTTTTCTACTGGCTATTGAATAAGTTATAAGTTTCACGCCCAATACTTTCTTTATCTCACAGAACATGAGCTAAGTAGGGTGTGGTTAGGTTTTTGTACTTACTAGTGCGAGCATATAGTTTTCTATATAGACTTCTGGTTTTCCCAGATGAGATACAAGGGGAGAGTTGTGAATGAAGAGGGTGGTGTGAGTTAGATAGAATGGATTTAGTCCATTTTTCACACGAGTCCAAGTGCCTGTCAACTAGAATATTAACAAACTGGTTAAGTGGCACGTAGCTTACCCTGCTCACAACCTTTAACATCCTGCGTGATAAGGTATGGTCTTTCTTCAGTAGCCCAGGAAAAACTAAGGAGGAACAATAGAGAATAATAGACAGAATGCGAGAGTTAACGAATTGTAGGAGTAAGGGTTTGGGTTATTCCAGAATGTCTTAACTTCTTGATATATATATATATATATATATCAAACACTATTCCGAACAATAGTGATCATACACAATGAAAACTTTCGACATTAGGTAATTAGATGAAAGAGAGGTGAAAACATCCAGTTACCAGGGTAAAAAAAACTGACAACTGCTTCTTTCTGAACGTATAAATCAGGTTTCAGGCGCGTGATGGGGAACGCTTTGGCAAACTTGAGGAGAATTGAGCTATTTTGCCTATTGATAATTCTGGACTATCTTGTGACATCCGCCTCATGACCCGTGTCAAGGAGATGTCTGGTGATGGCACCGTTTAAAGCATTTGTTCCCTTTAGACGTATGCTTTTTGGTACATGTTCAGAAAATCGTAGATATGCCCTTCTTTCTGTTTTCCAATGTAACAGCTACCACAGATACATGTAAATTCGTATATACAGTTGAAGTTAACATGAGAAGGATATCTATCAACTTTTGATTGCACCAAAGGACAAGTTGTTCAGGAGACATGTACGAGCTTAGCTGCAGGTTAGGCTCTGGCTAGGGACGTCCTCAGTCTTCTTGTCTTGTTCATAATGAAACTATTAGTACGTAGAACGGTGATTTCAGTTCATTTGTATGACCTACTTTACTTACGGTTGTTATATAAAAGATATTGTAAGTGTAAACTGCATTAAGGCTAAACCTTTTTTTGATGATAAGTGTCTTCGTGTCAATCGTTCATTTTAAGTCAAACTGTGTTGTAAATAATAATCAGGTGAGGTAAGGTGATGTTAAGTTAGGTAAGACAAATATGTTGATAAATGGTCATCACCTGAAGTGTCAAGCCGCAATAAATGTGATGACTTTACGTTAATGAATAATATGTTGGAGTTGACAGTTACTTATTTGGTAATAATATATATTGTCCAGTTGATTGCATTGCGTCACAAATTTGAGGAACAGATGTTTTAGAATGACCGACACGTGAATCCACTCTTGAATCAAATAATTATCCTAAAGACTTTATAAAAAGATATTTAAAATATGAAGATAAGGATGAATCGAAACCTGCTTCTAAGAATTGGGTTAGTACAGCTGTGATTCCTTACCGCAAAGAAACATCTGATGAAATAAAGCGAATCCTTAACGATCACCACATAAGAGTGTATTTTCGTGCAGCTAACACCTTACGCTCATTACTAGTGAAGGTTAAGGATAAAATAGAACGAAAAAACCCAACAGAATTGCGTATACCAGATCAATTGTGGGGATTGTAACGCCGTATGTGCAGGAGAAACTTCCAGACAGGTAAGTATAAGAGTGAAAGAGCATGAACGATGTTTAAAGGTGGTTCCAAAGACCTCTGCAGACTTGAAGAAGCTAGAAAACAACTCAGATATGGAATGCATTCAATAGAAACGGGACATAGAATCGGCTTTGATAAGACTAAGGTTTTACAGAAATGTTTTGGTTCATATGTGCGTCGGTGGCACAGTGGTTAGGACTCTCGCCGACCATGCATATGGTCCGGGGTTCGAGCTCACGCCGACGCACACCTGATATCTATGGTCGGCCTGCGAAATTTGGGCTACCGATATCCATGCTGAAAATTCCATACTTGTACCAAAAATACGGTGTGGAATCAAGCTGTAATCAAAAATCAAAAATAAAATAAAAAATAAAAAAAATAAAAAAGACTGACTGCAGAAGCCCTACAAATATGGGTGAATCCCAACAGTTTAAACAGACGTGAAGGTTTGATGTTAGTTGGTGCATGGCAAATCCTGACTAATACATAAAATTGGATATGTTAATCAACAACTAGTCACACATGGTCAAATTCCCGATTGACTACATCTTCTTATGGAGAGAATAAAAGATTTATAAAAATTATATTTGTAAAAATCTCAATTATTTTGCAACTATCCGGTCAAATCTTGATCACAGTTCATATAAATCCATATATATTTTAAACGTTTTCATAATTTTTTTTCTCTATAGAAATCGTTGTAGAAATTTTAAAAAAACCTTTAACATAACCGTAAAAAGGAATACGAGAATTCGTCAACGTTTGGTTGATATAGCTCTAGAGAAACTTAGACTGCAAGATGAAATATGGCACTACACAGATTTGAATTCATCTCTGTCTTCAGAAATCAAAGAACTTCAAAGGAAACTAGCCAGTTTAAACAATGAAAACCATTGTAGTAATGAAAATGCCAATATTGGGAATTTGGAACCAAAGAGATTGCATGGATTGGATTCAGGTTTGCAATAATATTTTTTATAAAGAGGTTACACGTAGTTGTATAACTGTGATTTTAACTATGCACACAAACACATGCAAACTCTAATGACGACTGTATTGAATGCTAAGAAGGATTATTATTATTATTGTTCCCTTGGGTTCCTAGTGGAACATACGGCTTCAACTGCACGTATCCACTTGCTTCTGTCTTCTGCTGTGCTTTTCACCTGCATCCATGTTAGTCCATACTCTTTCAACTTCTATTCACACGATCTCCTCCATGTCACCCTTGCACTAACGACCCACTCGCCGCGTTCTTCCCTTTCGGCCTGGTTCCACTCGAGCAATGGCCTGACGCGCGTGCGATGTCACTCAGCGGCCTCCTCAGCGAGTGTCCAACCCATCTTCACTTTCTCCTGCATATTTGTTGGTTGGCGATTGGTTCTTGTTTTGTTTGTTCCCATAATTTCTTGTTGGTGATTCTTTCCGGCCCGGCCATCTGATCTTCACTATAGATCCAGCGAAGACAGTTGGTGATGAAGGTCTCCATGCAATAGGCTGTTGGAAATATTCTTTGTGACCCGCCCGCCAAGTTTCTCATCTGTATAGAAGAACTGACTGACTTGACGTATGTATTGAAAACCCAATCGAATTTTGTTGTTGATGCTGAGTGACGAAGATTTCCAGATTTTCGATTTGGCATCCTCGTCCGTTCCAAATGCCTGTAGTTGAGACAATGCTACCTAGATAAGTGAATGAAGTCACCTGTTTCAAATCCCTCCCGTTGATGGTGATTGACGCTGGATGTTGCTGTTGTTGGTTGGTTATTTTCATAACCTCCGTCTTGTCTATGTTCACATGGAGTCCTGTCTTTGCTGCCAGTTTACACCGTCTCTGGCGTAGAGGAGATATCCGACTACCGACCAAAGGGCGGATGTACTGCTCATCAGTCCGCTCCGTCTTCCTTTATGACCAGCTGTACGACCTGGACATTGAGAGTAGAAGCGATGAAAAGTCTGGCTAGCAGTTTTTGGTCATATGTGCCTGCGTTCTATCTCCCGTGTGAAGTGGTATAATAAGATGAGCAATATCGAGGTTAGGCATCGGGTGCTAGGTAGGTGGGAGGGGAAATCAATCGACGAGGTTGTGAAGTTACATCGACTGAGATGGTTAGGACATGTGTTACGTATGCCTAGTCATCGCCTTCCTCGACAACATACAATTTTAGCTGATATAGGGTCAGGCTGGAAAAAAGCTAGAGGAGGTCGAACCAAAACATGGCCTCACCAGTCAATGAAATCTACAACAGTTAGTTTAATCCAGCCACGTAGGAAGGTGTAGACTTCCTGACTGGTTGGGGTCCTCGGGACGATAAAAATCTATGGTTGGAAACAATTGGTGACATGGCTCAAAATCGTTCTCAGTGGTGCAGATGCATCCACTCCTTGTGACTTATGATTTCCAATGAAACTATATTGTTCTTCGTCATTACTATTCCTTTGTCTCACACCTCTGTTTACTGCCCATATTATGCATTTCTTCTACTTTCTTCTCTTGCTTTGTGTACTACATGGAGGGGAGTGTGGCGACTTGAACTGCTGCACACTGGTGCAAAGTTCTATGTCGAAAACAGACAGACATTGTTGTACAGCGATATTAACTGATGACCACGTTTCGAGCACAAACTATTGCTACTCATAATGATATCAAGTTACTTACACAATTTTTTTCCTTCATTTATATACATGTGTGGAATTGATGATCAGACATTTGAATAAAAATCAATATGAGATAATGTACATTCAGAAATAATAATACGAGTGTTATCAATCAAATAGAATCAGATAGGAAATAAGACGCCTCACCTTTAACCTGCTGCACCCTACTGTCCATGGCTTCCTGCTACAACCACAGGTTAACTACCTGAATAGGGTCAGTCACTAGTGAGTATCAGATTAATTAATTTTCAATTATTGGTTTTTGTAGGGATTGTGTTTGATTGATTAGTTGGAAGGTTTCATCGATTGAATCAGTATGAGTCCCACTAAGAGGATCGATAACTATTTACTAGGCAAATGTGGATAATAAAAAAGTAATGCTAACCCTAATCTTAATCGTAACCCTGATTTCAACTCTGACCCTAATCGTGACTGTATCCCTAACGAGCTATGCACAAATTGTCTAAACAGTATTTAAAATCGAGGTAGGGATGAAATTTGCACCTCCATCTATGCACAGCGTTCAAAGTGACACTATAGTGAATAGTAAGTTTCGTTATCAAACGAGTAGTATGCGTTCAAGGCCACTGGAGCTACCGCACACCTGACCCACGGTAATGCCTTATTTCAGTTTGATTATATTCATATGCGTATTGCTGCATTGTGTCAAAACACTGTCTCTCCTTTTCCATTCCATCTTTCTTTTAGATAGAATTCATAAACTTTCTTTAAGAAATCAAGATCTTAATAAAGTGGAGACGAATAAAATTGAATCACAAGGAAAAGAAAGAGCGGAAGAAAATACTTCAGGAAAATTATCCCTGAGAAATGATGCAGGTTCTACAACTACCACCAGTACTACCACTGCTGGTATTAGTAGCAGGGACATAATTGCTCAATGCAAAGAAGTACCACAGGAGTGTACAACTTCGTGACATAAGATTTTCTTCTATCACCATCGCAGATTACTTGTGTTATAACTGTAGGGAATTCAATGAAGACGTTTTCACCTTGCTCTGTCTGCGCCTGAACTAATCTGCCTATCTGCTTGTCGTACCTTCCGATTTAGTAAAGCACGCAAATATCAAAAGACAAAGGCTGGACTGTGACTGTGTATTGAAGTGCAACAACGACAAAGAAAGCCATGGTATTTATACATTTTACAACAATATGGACAGCTAACAGCATTTGAAATAATTGATCTTAATAGCCAATAACAAAGTGCGTGAGAGATGATAATATACCATATGTGCGAGATTGACAGTCAATAACAAAATGTGTGGGAATGATAATATACCATATATACAAGATTAACAGTCACTACCAAAATGTGTGAGAATGATAATATACCATATATACAAGATTAACAGTAAATACCAAAATGTGTGAGAATGATAACATACCATATATGCAAGATTAAACAGTCAATACCAAAATATGTGGGATCCTATCACCTCTCCCCGTAAAGAGTGTAGGACTTGCTTTTTGGATCTATTTGAAAAGGTTTCGGAGCTCTTCTTTGTCGAGTTGACCTTTGCGTGGTACTGGATAGAGCGTGATCTGTGTGTCTGACACATAACTGTCCTTTTTCATTCGTACGATAATGCAGCAAGAATTTATCCAAAATTTCTTCTGTTGTTCCCTCCCCCTTCGCTTTTGCATAAGCACGCTTAAAGGTGTCGACGAAACGTTCAGTCTGTCCATTCGATTGGGGATGATACGGGGGGCTACGAATATGCTGGATGCCAAACAGTTTGCAGCAACCAAGTTTGTCCTGGAAGACAGAAGCGTGCTTTTGACGACGGCGTTGCAAGAGAGATTGATCAGATACATCTCCGGGAACAACGTTGTGTGGTGAAGACGAAACATTAGAGCATACTGAATTTAATGGTACATTAAAGATATGGAGCTTGTCTAACCAGTCAAGACCAAGCAAATTCAAATCATGGTAGTTTGTAACGTAACATACACCATTGAAGTGATGCTCACCAAACTGAACCTGGCAATTTATCTCACCCACGAGTTTCAGTATATCTCCAGAGACATTCTTGGCGACATGCTCGGTCGGCAGAATCTGTGGGCAACCAAGTTTGCGCCACGTAGTTCGGGAAATTACGGTGATATCTGATGCCGTATCCAACTGAAGACGAATACGTTTGCCGTTAATATCTAGTGTTATGTACTTACGTTTGCTGGCGAACTCGACTTTGGAAGTTGTAAAACGGTCTGTACTCGAGGAGATTGTTTCGGCTTGAAACGACTACTTCTGTTCCTCACCGAAGAATTTTTCTGCGGTGTACAGTAACCCTCCTTATGTCCAAAACGGTGACAATTACGGCATTTATGCTTCTTGAAAGGACAGAACTTGACAAAATGCCACGAACCACAGTGCCAGCACACTGAAGGAGGTTTAGCTGAATTTGAGACTGACGTGCTGTGTGCTTAACGGTGATCGGAGGACTTTTCACTGTGTTAATCGAACCAAATTCAGACGACTGTCGTTTGCACTCCACCATAGCAGTATCGTGCTTCAAGTTGATTAAACGTAGGCATTCTGCTGTCACCATTTGTAAAGTCATTTTCGGGTCTTGTTCCACGAGTGACAGAAGTCGAGTTCGTATGTCAGTATCTTCTGGGTTCTTCAACCCACAAATAAAAATCAAACACTTGAACTGATCTGATGTCATTTCGTGTGGTTTGAACCTTTCACATTCCTTGTTCACTTTGCCAGCGTAAGTCACATAATCATCGGAAGGCATTTTTGTCAACTGAAAACATTGATACCGAATATTAAACATGGATGACTGTTCACCAAAGATTTGTGATAAAACGGTGACTGTCTCATCGAATGATAACTCACGTGGGTTCTTAGGCAGAATGAAGTTAACATATCTGTTGTGCTCAACAGTACCAAGTTTTCTTAGTAACAATCGGACTTTGGCAGCATCATCAAACATGTAGCATTCAATACGGAAAACGTCTTCGTAACGATTGAACCATGCATCAAATACGAGACCAGATATTGGGTCGTAGTTGAACTCACTGATGGAATTTGAGATGCTTTCATATTTGTCAGAATGAGATGTTGATGGAACTTGAATGGACAGCTTCTGAGTGAGAGCTTCGATTAATTTTAGTTGAGCTGCTTCATTCTGAACCTGCTGCTGCTGCAAGATAGATTTGAGATCGTCCAGAGAGATAGACATTGTAATTGGGTTGTAATTAACACAGTCAAAAATGTTATATAGCTGCGCTGAACAGAATAAAAACTGTCGTCGTTTGCTTGCTATAACTGCAATGAATTAAGGTAAACCCCGTCGCCAATTTGTTATAACTGTAGGGAATTGAATGAAGACGTTTTCACCTTGCTCTGTCTGCGCCTGAACTAATCTGCCTATCTGCTTGTCGTACCTTCCGATTTAGTAAAGCACGCAAATATCAAAAGACAAAGGCTGGACTGTGACTGTGTATTGAAGTGCAACAACGACAAAGAAAGCCATGGTATTTATACATTTTACAACAATATGGACAGCTAACAGCATTTGAAATAATTTATCTTAATAGCCAATAACAAAGTGCGTGAGAGATGATAATATACCATATGTGCGAGATTGACAGTCAATAACAAAATGTGTGGGAATGATAATATACCATATATACAAGATTAACAGTCAATACCAAAATGTGTGAGAATGATAACATACCATATATGCAAGATTAAACAGTCAATACCAAAATATGTGGGATCCTATCAACTTGGTCATGTTGATCGCCAGAAATGCTTTTCATTCCTTAGAAGCTAATATTGTTATTATTACTATTATTATTACAATCAATATTTCTTGGTGAGTAAAAACCTTATTTTATTATAAATTACCCAAATATACTTTCGACTATTCTCTGTGCTAATTTGTTTTATCTGTTCGTCTTCTTTTTGAATATTTTGTGGTAAAAAAAACAAACGATAAATAGAAATTGTAAATATCCCTTCTTGTTGTATGTAATTCATGTGCATTGATATTCTATGTGTTATAATGTGCTTTCCAATTTGAAAGTTGGAATAATCTCATGGTGTAGTTGACATTCGAAGGTGATGAATACTGCTACAGGTATGCAGCTGATGTGTGTTGTTCAACTTTTAGGTGGACGGCAACATACATGGTAAGATGATGATGTAAATAATTGTCTGTTATTCTTTTCCTAAGGTGGATGGCAATGCACAGAAGTCGACATAACCTATGACATATGTAAAAATTATATTTGTAAAATCTCAGCGAAATTGAAATATAAGTAATTTCAACGTTTCTTGCGTTCAGCAACTGACCTGAACTTCTTCAGGGAAATTAATATAACAAATGTATGTATATCAAAGATATCATTTGTCTTTAAAAGCTTTGTCGAATCACACGGGACCTGAAGCAATCATCAAAGTATAACAAAAAAGTTTTTGAATGCCTGACGTTTTCAACGTAGAACTTTGCACAAAGTACAGTAGTTCGAGTGGCCACTGTCTCATTGTGTAGCATACAAAGCAAGAGTAGAGAGGCCCAAAAGATAGATGATAAACACTGGTGTGAGTGAGGGAAAAAGAACAATTATATGGAAGAATGATAGAGTTTTGTTGGATGTGATATATCACAAGGAGTGAATTCATCTGCGCTGTCATTGAGAACGATTTTGAACCATATTAGGAATTCTCTCCAACCATTGGTTTTTACCATCCTGAGGACCCCTCCAACCAAGCATTCTCCGCGGCCATACGTGTCTAGCTTAAACTAACCAACACTTAAACTGTTGTAGATTTGATTGACTACCTCTAGCTGTTTCTTTTCAAACCTGATCCACCCTATGTTAGCTAGCCTTGTCCATCGAGGAAGGCGACGACTAGGTATGCACGCGTGACACATGCCCTAACCGTCTCAATCGGTGTGACTTCACAACCTCGTGGATTGATTTTCTTTCCTTACCTAGCACTCGACCGAAGCCGAGCCTAAATATTACTCATCCTATTATACCGCCTAATACGGCAGATATAACGCAGACACCTATGGTTAAAGACAGCTAGCCAGCCTTTTCATGTCTTCCTCTTTCAATGGCTAAGTCTTACAGCCAGCCATCAAGGAGGACTCGACAAACTGCCAGGTATTATGTACGTCTTCTGATCGATTATCAGTGGGATATCACGTCCACGCCACACGAACCTTTTGTGTCCGTACTAAGATTTCGACAGCGATCAACTCCTTGGCGTTGGCTGATGCAACTTCCCAAATAAGTGAAGTGGTCAACGTGCTCTACCGCTTGACTGCCTATTTCTAAGCTAGGAGTCAGTGTAGTCCAGTCCTGTAGCATTATCTTACTTTTGGTGGGAGCGAATAGCATTCCAAAGACTCGTCGATTGCTGCTCAAGGTGTTCAGAAGGCTCTGCTCTATTTTGTTAGCGTCCTCACCTAAAACGATTGTATTATCTGCGTATTCTAAGTCAATGAGATTATTTCCTGTTAAAAAGTTAATCGGTGAATGTCGCGGAAGTGAGTTAGGGTTAAGTTCATTAGTAAATCTTTGATGAAACGGGAATAGTGGGCATCCGTGCCGGACACCACTAGTTGCCACCACTTCAGATTACAACTCTCCGTAGCATCTCACTTGGCTGACTTCATGAGTTCGAGTTTAGTGCCTTGATCAGTGCCACACATTTTCTCGGCATTCACTTCACAGCCAAATATTTTCATACTACCTCTCGGTCGACGGAATCGAATTCCGTTTTGAGGTAAAGAAATATGGCGGTTGTTGGATACTGGTGGATATAACTATGTTCCACAATCTGTCGAAGGGTGAAGATATGGTCGATACACGCTCTTCCTGGTCTGAAGTCTGGCTAATTTTCTCGTTTTTCTCTCCCGAAAACTACTTAATGTACGCATTATTATTGAGTCTA